ATGCATATAAACGAAATCGAACCGGAACGATCTTCCCATAACCCTAGCTAACGGATTTAGCTACTCATCATGCATTCAACATCAAAATTCATAACAATCCAAGCCATGTCAATTATTAAGAAAACGAAACGAAAGCTTACGATTAATGAGTTCAATGTCGAAAACAAGAACAAGTCGAATCCAAAGTCGAATCTCGGAGTTTTTCCTCTCCAAGATTGAGTTCCAAAGTCAAAATCAAGAGAAAGTATGAGTTTTGGGTGAAAAACATCAAGAACTTCGAAAACCTAGCTTAAACATGAATGATCCCGTTTCAAAATAAATCAACTATTAAAAATCTGAAATTCGCGACCTCCGCGGCCGCAAACAAGCTCGCGGGCCGCGGTGAAGGAGAGCTCCGCGGCCGCGACTTTTCAACGCAGTCCGCCGGTTGTGAATTTTTGGGCCCTCCGCGACCGCGACTTCCTCCTCCGCGGCCGCGGTGAAGAAAACTGGGCGCTGGGCATGATTTGTTCACCGCGGCCGCGGGAACACAGTCGCGGCCCGCGGTGAAGGGTTCGTGTGACAAAATTGCAATTTCTGGGCTCGTATCCATGCTTCCGGACTCGGAATTAGATTCTGTCTTTTTATACTCGACCCCAACTCATCCGTCTAGATATAATCCTCGCATGGCCACTTCTCAATCGAGCTACCTAACCTGCAAACCACCACCGACAAGAAAAATGCAGAAAACCGGGAAAAACAAACAAGAAAAACCAAAACGAGCAAAACAAAGAAAATACACGATACGACACAAAATGGACCAAGAACAAAGGATAATAACCTAGAATGGGGAAAAATAAATGCAAAATAAACAAGGAAAACACGACAAAAATGGAACGAACAAGGATATTCAACTTAAACCAAAGAAAAACTAACTAGAAGACAAAGAGAAAGAAAGCCAATCTGAAAGAGTAGATTTCAACAAAATTTGAACCGACATGAGAGATTGATGAAAAATCCACATGTTTCTTGTCTTCCAAAGCCATCAAAGAATATATGTTGAGAGTTAAATTGGATCTTTAGCTACCTTGGAGTGACCAAGAGAACAAACTTTGTACCACCAACATTTGAAAGAGTCTGTGAAATCAGCAAGCCCATCCCATTGCACAGGGGAGACCTTCCAAACTTGTGAAGCTCTGGAACAGGAAAAAAAAATGTGCTCAACAGTTTCAAACCTTCACCACAGATAGAACATATAGGATCAATATCAATTCTTCTCTTTCTCAAGTTAGAAGAGACAAGGAGGGTGCCAGAAAGGCACTTCCATAAAAAGTGCTTTAATTTTCCAGCAACTTTGAGCTTCCAATGCCTATAT